ACAACGTGCACCGTCGAGATCGCGAGCGAGATAATGGTGGGGGCTTAACGTTCATCACGCACCACACCGTGCAGTATCGTCTTATTGAAGCAGACATCGACCGCAGGGATACCATCCTAGAATGTCAGGGTATTGCTATCCAGTCAGGCGATGTTGAACTCGAAATATTTAACGTTTACATACCCCCAGTCACAAGCTGCCCGGCAGGATATCACCCTGAAATAGGTGCGCTACTCAGAGGTGAAAACCGTATGGTAGTTCGTGACTTTAACGCGCACCACGATCTTTGGCACTCAAGCCTGTCAAATGATCGTAGGGGAATACATCTGGCTGAGCGGATAGACGATTCGACATTCTGCACAATGAACGACGACGCACCCACCAGCATTATGGGCAGCTGCTGCAGCTCGCCAGACCTAACAATTGTCAGCGCTGGTCTGATAAACAGCGTATCATGGCGACTTATGCTGACCCTACCATCAGACCATCTGACCATAGTCATCTCGATTGATAAACCTGCCGACTTTGCTTCCGTGGATCACCGAACTTATGTCAACTTTTCCAAAGCTGGAAAGGCTTCACGGATGTTACTGAGGGCGCCTTCACTGCACTACCCATACCAACCGACGTTCATGTAGGTGAACGTAAGTTCCGCAGGGTTGTCACCGCTGCTGCAGCTCGCTTCATCCCAGCAGGATTTATTAAGGATCCACGTCCGAACATTCCTGCAGAAGCGGCTGTTCTAGCCGATGAGCGCGACAACCTTCGTCAGGCCGATCCCGGAAATCCCCGTATCAGGGATCTCAAATCGGAGATTCGGCAGCTTGTGAACGTACATAAGCGGAAGAAATGGGCAGAGCATTTGGAGACCTGTAACTTCGCCTCTGGTGTGAGCAAGCTTTGGTCAACCGTGAGGTCGTTGTCCAACCCGACGAAACGTGACGACAGCGTCGAGATAGACTTTGATGACCAGGCTTCGTCGAACCCGGAGCGATGCGCGAGCTATTTTAGCCAGCAGTTCATTCTGCATCCTCCGGTGGATAAAGCCAAACGTCGAGTGACCAGAAGGCTGCACAAAATGCCAAGACCCAGTGCGCCTCTTGTTGTCACCAGCGGTGAGGTAAGGGTAGCCATCGGGAAGGCGAAAGCCTCCAAAGCCATTGGACCCGACGGAATATGCATATTGATGCTGAAAAATTTGGGTCCTGCGGGAGTAGCGGAGGTCCTCAACCTGTTTATGGCCACTCTCGTCATTCCAGACATCTGGTAAATGGGGAGAGTGGTCCCACTGCTCAAACCAGGGAACCCAGCCAACAAAGGAGCGAAGACACTCGAGGCCCTGCTGCTCCCGTATTTCACGAACCACCTGACCCCAGCGAAGCATCAGCATGGGTTCCGTAAAGTGCAAAGCACAACAACAGCACTTAACGCCATAACACTCAGATAACTCGTGGCCTGTGAGAGAACTATTCTAGTAGCGTTGGACGTGTCCAAGGCGTTCGACACTGTCAGTCATTCAACGCTACTATAAGATATAGAGGCCTCCTCACTCCCACAGGGACTCAAACGGTGGTCGGCGAATCATGGCGTCTGGGAATGGAATTGATGACTTGTGCTCGAAAGTAAACGCTTATCTCGCCGAACTTTCTCGCTTCTTCACTGCAAGAAGCCTTGCCCTATCCCCTGCGAAATCCTCGGCAACCCTTTTTCACCACCTGGACGAAGGAGGTCAGACCGCAACTGGGTATTCACGTCGATGGCGTAACAATACCGACGGTGAATAACCCGAAAATCCTCGGAGTTACCTTCGACAGTCTGCTCCCCTTCTCGACGCATACAACCGCAATTGTCAACAAAGTAAAGAGCCGCAACAATGGGCGCCAAACACGGCATTACGAACAGCGACAGAATGCCTCCTGTTGACGCCCCAACACCACCTACATGACGAGGCCCAGATGCTCCCAGTAAAGGAGCATAACATAATGCTCTGCAAGCAGTTCCTTTCTTTACGAACTGACGGACGAAGTCCAGAGGTTTGTCAAACAACCTCTGGACCCGTCAACCTACCGACAGGCCCTGAACGGCATTCACAGGGAATCAGTCTCAAGTTATGTAGACTCCCGCCCTGTGAATGCCGTCCTAGGCACACAACCACCGTACGTGGACGGTACAGAACTTTGTCTGCCTCGGGAGACCCGCACTACAATAGCCCAACTTCGCTCTGGTTATTGCAGCAGGCTAAACTCGTACCTAAGCAGAATCAACGAGGATGTGCCCAACCAATGCATGTGGAGAGCCGCCACATGACTCCCGGCACCTCTTCACATGCCCTGAGAACCCCACTCAGCTGACGCCCCTGTCCCAATGGACAGCCCTTGTGGAAGTCGCACACTTCCTGGGCCTCCCCCTAGCTGCAATTGACGGCAACGCTGATGGATGAACCGACCCGAACGGGGCTTAGTAGCCGCTACAACAACAACAACCACAACGCTTAGACGTTCCCACGACAGTCGGACCTACGTAACCGGAACGACCCAGATTTATATCTGGCCAAAGACTGTCACTCCAGCTACACTCCCCAGAAACTCTTTGGGGAATTTGTATGCTGTTACAACAACAACAACAACAACGCTTAGAGGCTTAAAAACGTTAGTCGGTACGTTACTGCTAATCAAGATAAGTATTCGAGCTACATTCATTGATAAAGAAATTCACTCCAATGTAGGTAACACACAAGAATGATAGAATACAAGATTGCGCCGTCCTGGCCGTTGACATGTGTGTACCACAAGTAAACAAAGAATAGAGCGAAAAGAAGAACGAGTTGAAACTGCCAAAATAGTTCACTTTACAGCGAAAAACGTGTTTTAATTTTGCTAAACGCGAAAATATTGCATTTTTCACCTAATCTTTTTGAGGGTCGAGAACGGTTTAGGCACTCCATTGCTTTTCAATTGAGGCTGCTTCAGCAAACGTTTTAGTGCACTCCAATGCTTTGCAATTAAGGCTGCTGAAGCAAACTGCGGGAGCATCTCAGTGGGGTTGATTAGTTAACTTGCGAAAGGAGGCTGCTTGGAGAAGAAATGAAATTATTGTGATGAAATGCTGTTAATATAATAATAAAGAAACATTTCGGGAACGGCTTTGCCGTGCCCTATGTACACAAAATGCAGCGATTCCTAGCACAGAGCCGCAACAAGGTCCTCAAGTCGCTAGCCGGCTGTACTTGGGGCAAAGACATAGAAACGTTGCTGGCAACATACAAGGCAATAGGCCGGCCGGTTTTAAACTACGCAGCACCAGTGTGGTCGCCGGGGACTAGTAGGACGCAGTGGACAAAGCTACAGACGGTACAAAATACAGCACTAAGGACAGCGACCTCCTTACCTTAGGATGCCTCCTGATGTCACCAGAACACCACCTCCACGATAAGGCGAAAATGCTCCCAATTAGGGAGCCCAACACGATGCTCTGCAAGCAGTTTCTTGTTGGGAGCCACAGATGTGGCCACCCAAATAGACAGCTGCTTGCAGAGGAGCCCTCGCCGAGGCACGTCAGGAGGCATCTATATGAACTGACGGTCGAAGTCCAGAGGTTGATTAAGCAGCCTCTGGACCCGTCAGCTCACAGACAGGCCCTGAACGGCATTCACAGGGACGCAGTCTCGAGTTATGTAGACTCAAGACCTGTGAATGCCGTTCTAGGCACACAAACACCGGACATTGACGCGACGGAGCTCCATCTGCCTCGGGAGACCAGAACAACAATAGCCCAACTTCGCTCTGGCTACTGCAGCAGGCTAAATTCCTACCTGAGTAGGCTAAATGCGGATGTGCCGAACGAATGTCCGGCAGCGGTGAGACCACTCACGACTCGAAACATCTCTTCGTATGCCCGGTCCCTGTGGACCGACCCTCCTAGAGGCTGCACACTTCTTGGGGCTGCTGTTAGTGGAACTCGACGACAACGACTGAGATATCAGCCGATCTGGGCGGGGTTGTTGTAGCCGCTACAACAACAACAACAACAACAACAACAACAACAACAACATTCGTAGCAGCGCTACACTTGCATCTACGCTTCTTGCATCTTGACGGCTGCCGCAATTTAACAGACGGCACTTCATTTGATTAGTTTTTACGCAGTCTTCAACTCAGAAATCACTCTCAAATTGCAAATTAACACAATTTAAACTGATTTTTCACTTATAATTAAAATTTCTCTTTGCCGCTGATTTGTAAACAAAAGTTTATTTACAAGTTACCACAACTGTCAAAATCGGCAAAACCAAAGTAGCGGTACCACTGACGGCCCCACCTTTGTTCGCTGCACCGTGGGTAACACATTATTTGTATACGCCGATTATTCTTAACTTGCAAATTCTTTTTCATCGTTACAGATTAAATTTAGAGGTTCGAACTTCGAAGCCTTATGCGTTTAGTACTCAAATGGTCGTCGTCTACATTTTTAAGAATAACAGCTTTTTTTAATTTGATTAAGTGGTGGGAACGATTTAAAACTGCTTATCAATATATTTTTCTTGTCACGCCTTCTACCAATTTATAAATATCTTCTTTTTCTTCAAGTGAACCGCCGGACGGCTGCTGAAAAAATCGTTTTTAAAGGAATACCCTAATTAGGTTTTACTTTTTTCGCGGTACACAGTGTTATTAATATGCGTAACAGAAATATCTTTGAAAAAATTCATTACAAGGAGAGAAAAATGAATGAGTTCAATTTGGAGCTGCGAAATTTCATAACGTTGATATCAAAATACATTTGAAGGAGAACGAAAAAGCTGTGTACTTGAAACAGTTCATAATAAAGAGAACTTCATTGAACAAATGTCAATATAGGGAAGTTCGACTGTAGTTTTTGCGTTTATAATGTCTGGTTTCACCAATTTTAAATTTATCAGCCTGAAAAAATTTTAAATTACGCAAATTCGTTCGGAAAATTTGAATTATTAAATTTTAAGTCTGATAAATTTTAAAATTGATTGGTGAAACTGGGGATAAGAATTTTTAAATTTTACCCATTTGTGGCTGCAATGTTAACTGTCTGCCTGAATGCTTGTCCAAATAGAACTTCTTGAATATTTCAAATGCTTCGCGGGGCGCTGATGGTATATTGCAGTTCGGTGTCGCCGTCTAAAAATATTCATGGATACATTCGAATTAAAAAGAAATTGTGTAATTAATATATATGTAACACACTTGAGTTGGCCAGAATCCAGTAGTTAATATTCTCACTGTCAATTCTACACCTGATAATGATAAATTGTGTATATTTACATAATTCTTAAATTCTTCCATTATGGTATTTGACACAGACATGTCTTTGAACATTCCTTCCAATTTTGAGGTAAATTGACATCCACACTCAGTCTGCAAATTATGAAATGTAATTGAAATTAACAAATACAAATAAATTTTGCACAATAATACCTTCAATTTTGATATCATATTTTTTTCGAAGTCATCAGAAACTGATTTATTTAGCAACAATCGTTTGGCTAAATGTGTTTTATAATAGCGTTCGAAAACATCTTTTTCCAAAAGAAAACGGAAAAGAACCATCGTCTTATCCAAAATTGTTTCGATTTCTTGTTCGCTCATCTAAAATGCTTTGCTATGTAATTAACTGTGTGCAAACAGGGAAAATAACACTTACACCTTTGCCTCCTTTTTTAAGTTTATCGTCGATGAATAATGAAAGATATTCCGGGGATTTTTGGTTCAAATTTAGAAAATGTTCAAAGTCCGCCGAAATAACATTCTTAAATAATCGATCATTGTTAAAAGAATGATGCAAAAATTGATCAAAACGGTCTTTTAAGTCGAGCAAGTTCTGTACAAATGTTATTGGGTTGGTGTTGCCATTTTCTTCTTCTTTCACTAATATTCGGCCTTGTTCACGCAAATATGACGACATAGTATCAGCAATAACTTTGAGACCCTCCTCTTTAAGACGAGAAAATAGTTTATAGGTACATGCAAGATCCTCTGTTTTAGAGTTTTTTATCATATAAACAACACCGGAGTTTTCCATTTCCACAATGGAGCGCATATGCTTTTTAATGAGTTCATCTTCAACAACTTTAACGATTCGAGGTTCCGTATCCTTGTCTAGATAAAGCGTTGCGCGAGCAGATTCCTCTTGTATGCGTGCCTTAAAAACGTTCAATAGATATCCATTTCTAAAATATTATATCATAACTTACCTCAACTTTTTTGATATAAACACCTGCATTGTTTTCGTTAAGGAATTTGTGGGACTCGAATTTATAGAAGGAAGCAGATTGCGCAAGAAAAGGTTTTTCAAAATCATCCTCATAAACGGAGCGTGTATTAATTCCTAGTGACATAAGCATTTGACAGGCATTTTTAATAGCTAAATGGTTAATGGCTTCACCACTTCGCTCATCCATAACCATACCCAGCAGAGTCTCTCGCAGAGCTTTTTGAATTTCCGAATAACGCACGATCTAAGATAATTTTTTGTTTGTATTAGTTAGCATGGCAACCCTGCAAACCATATTTTCAGTGTAAAGAAATTTTAATGAATTAGTTAAGATCCCATCCAATTTTTTCCCGAATTTTCTAAAATGAAATAAAGGCGCTGGCCCAATGCACGCCTTGCTTATTTTAATTTGATAACATTTATTTGAAAACTTGTTTGGCCAAATGGCGGCAAAAAAACAAACATTAACAATTATTTTCCTGGAAAACTCAAGAATGTTAATAAAAAAATTAAATAATACAGCTCAATTTTTTATGTTTATTTTTACATGAATGCGAATTAATGTTAAAACAGAAATGAGATACTTCTAAAGATTTCGTTAAGATTTCGAGAACTTTGGTTTGCAGGGAACCTACGTTATGAGCAGGGAACGGATTTTATGGAAGTTGCCTTTTTTTCTGCTAAAGAGATAGAGTATATTCGATTAAGAATGTCCACGATTTAGCTTTCCCTGATTCCATATATACACATTTGATGTTGCCTTTTTTTGCCTTTTTTAAGATATTTGCCTTTTTTAAGATATTTGCTTTTTTTGCCTTTTCTACCTTTAAAAAAGTGATTATAGCATTTACATTTTTTTTTTTTTAAGATTAAAAAATATACACATGCCCATGCGGCTTATAGAAGCGCAGGGACCTCTTGCCAAAATCGAATGATAATGCTGCCAGGAAACTTCAAAATGCATATTGTGGTTCAATGTTACTACAACTATACAGATTAAAGAAACTCGAGAGGATAAAATAGTCAAAGATTCACAGTATAAATTTTTCATATATGAAACTAGTTCATAGTTTTTCTCTTTTTACTTGTAATATAAACATTTCTAAAAGAAATGTATTTTTTGAATGTTCTTCGTATTTTCTGTCTTTTTTCAGTGCCTTATTTTGCTTTTTTTGCAATACCTAGTGCCTTTTCTTGCCTTTTTCGCTATTTTGTTTTGCCTTTTTTTGCCTTTTTTGCAATACCTAGTGCCATTTTCTGCCTTTTTCGCTATTTTATTTTGCCTTTTCCAGCCTATTTCGTTATTTTCTTTTGCCTTTTTTATAGGTTTTTAGGTCCTAAAAATCCGTTCCCTGGTTATGAGCTATACCTGATCTCTGAACAGTATCAAGCCCAAATTGTAGACATTATCCACTTCCCGTTGCTGAACATAAACACGATCCATGTACATTAAGATATCGCGAATCATTACCATAGACGTTTGATGGTCATTCCACGCTTGATTTAATTTTGGAAGAAAGTTGTTGTGCAAACTTTCAAGCACTTCCTGGCGTACTTTATGCTCTAAATGTTCAGATACCACTTCTCGCAACCCATAATATAGCCGATTTCCGTGCTTGTGAAGCACCATGTTGTATGCATTCCGGTATAATTGTTCAAATGACAGTCCAGAGTTATTCTTCTTCTGTATCTCCTGTATAGCATTTTTCAAGCTTGCCCAAATGGATTCGACATATTTTTCATCCATAGAAGCCTGTAAACGATGAAAAAGTGAAGGAGAAAAATAAAAACAAAATATTAATATAGTATATTAGTAGAAAAACTAATCTAACATTAAAAGCATTTGTTTTGTACTCAGGCAGCCGAAAAGGGAATTTCCTTTGAATTTCGTACAGTTTTTGGTCTTTTGAATTTACTCCAGCGGATATGCAGCAGACAGTACCGGTACTAAGGAGGCTGGTGCTCGTCGCCCCAAAATAGTGTACCGATGACTGAAGAATGCAGCGTTGCTCAAGTTCGCAACTATTGGCTGCTGTCGAGCTCTGTATACCCAGTATTGGACGGCCACGTATGAAAAATTTACGATACCGACCGGCATTCGCTGAACTGCTAGACGAATAGTTATTGCGACTCTTCGTGAATAGTAGACTCTTAGTTGACGCGCTTGTGCTTCTCATTTATTGTCCTTGGGCATTGATTTGCCGTTTTGGCTCGATTTATGACAAAGGAGCTAAGGGCTTAAATCCAAATATATAAGCCAAAGTTTCTCCGACGTAGTTTTCAAATATTTATATAACAGACCACTAAAAAAGTATAGGATATCGAACAAAATATTTTTTAATCTAATAATGTTCAGTGCAATCTAAAATTGGATACTATTATAGTGTGTATTTCTGTGTACATATATTTCTACGATGATGTTGGCGTTTCTAGTATTAAATGCTTTATTTATTTCCTGCCTTTAAACGACGTCACTGTCTCCTGTATCTACTTTTCTCAATTATTTGTTTAGATTTTCATTGGAATTTTAACATTGTCTTTGTAGATTCTTTGGCTTAACTACGATTCACTACGATCTGTTCCATTAATTGATTTCAAAAGATATTTCTTCCTACTGTTTTTGTTTTTGTTTTGTTTGCTTTGTTCAACCCTTCTCGAATACGCTTTCCACTAGTGTTCTTCGTAATTAGTGAAATATAATGCTGGTATTATCCGATCTTTTGTCGCTGGTGCTTAGTAGAATTCGTTATTCGTTATTAGTATTTCTACCGAGCTTCTCTCTTTCGCCCTCCCTTTGTTAAATTTAAAATATGTATGTATATGTATTTAAACCGATGATGAAATTTTTTCACAATAATTTTTTTTTTCTTCTTGAAAAAATTCAAATTTTCTAGGAGACAATAGATTTCCTTTTGACACAAATAGCACAGTTATCTAATAGGAGGCATCATGATACAAAAAAGAAGGTAGTTTCAATAAACAACTTTTTGATTAAAAAGCAGATTTTTGACAATTGTGAAAATATGGGAGCGGCGCTACCCAATTGTAAGTTTTTTGGTGTGGGAGACTTTATATCCTAAATTTGGGATTATAAATGAAATAGTTGTATTAATATTTACCTTTTAAAAATAATTAATATCTTATCTTAAAAACGTTTAAATTTTACATTAAATTCGATAACAACTTGTCAAATCATTATTTTAATATTAGTACAATTTTAGTGAACATATTTTAAAATTTTTTTAGTGTCCTCATGTCATCTGATTATTTCACAATGTAGTTTTCTATATCGGATACGATGATTCTGATATGATTCTGACACTGAAATTACGCATTTCGATGTGTTATTAATACATATTTGGGCAATTCACAAGGTGTCGTATTTGTCGTGTTTGTCGTGAAGTCATGATATTTCATGACAGTTGTAAAAATGTTGTTATTGTTTTGTGAAGAAAAATAACACATGACGATACAACTCTGCAACCTATGTTTATTCGGTGTTATGTGAGGTTAAGTGCTGAGATATAATAAATAATCGTAACAGGTGTTCACAACCGTCGTGTTTTAACACAACTTTTGTTAGGAAAATATAACTTCACAACACCTTGTGAATTGCCCAAGTGTCTTTGTCCATTTAACAGCAAATGGAATTTTCTTTGGGACCCATGGGCCGTAAAATTTTTCCAGCAACACATATTGTTTTCACATGAAATTTTGACACACCCAAAAGCGAAGTATAAAATAAATAGATGAAAACAAATTTTCGATCAAACGGATTTGTGTAGTTCAGGGGCGTCTTTAGTAAATGTTTTAGAGGCTGTTTTAATATATACTATCTTATTATATATTTCTTAGCTTTTCTACATTCTGAGAAGTTGAGAGAATGAAGTCTAATATTCTTTTTTGGTCAACTACTATGTTTGATTTCATTTTTTGCAATCATTAGTTCATTTCGCTTGTGGAGTCACAATGCCATACCGGCTGTACCGATTTTTTTGAAATTTCGGACACAAATTTTCCAAGAATGGTTATAGGCTAAAACAAAACCGAATATCTAAAGGAGTTGTGGAACCTCTCATACAAAGCGATTTTTTCATAGTGCATATCTCTGCAAGTATTTGTGGTAGAGTCCGGGAACTTGGTATGGATATATGTATATCAAGTCAATCTCAAGCTCATGGAAAAACGTGGGTTTATTGGAAAATGCGGCGTGCCACCGTAGAACTTGGAACAGAGGTAAATGAAATCAATCCCAAAGCTATGAAAAATTTGTATTTTTCTTTATTCTCTTCAATCTTACACTTTATGAATAATTTTATAAGTTTTAGATGTTAAGTTCAAATTTTATACATTTTAATATCGTATTATATTGTAATATTCTCAGTATCTAACGCTGAAATATAACCTGTGGTTGTTGTGTTCGACTACTTTAATAAATAAAAAAAATAAAAAAAACGGGGTATATGAAAACGATCTCGTAGCCATTGAAAAGAGCTAGCGGTATAAGCCATATAAACTAAAATTCTGGTGACGCATAGATACCTCCGGAAACATTTACCTAGAATACTGATATGAGGTATTTTTCCAATGGAAACATGTACAGGAAGATGGGCGTGACACCTTCTGGAAAGTAACATGATCACAGGGTGTATCCCTACAACGATTTTAAGCTAAACCTTGAGGGACTACATTATTCCCAAGACCCACAGGCATAAGCTGAAGTTGCGTCGCAAGTTTTACGATCGGCTTGGGTAATGTTTAACCACTTAACCCCCCTTTGTTCTCGCCACTACTGAATTCTATAAACTGTCAGCTTTCACACAATTTAAAATGTACATGTGTATTTAAAAATGTCATGAAAATTGTGTTGCTAGCTTCATGTTGCAAAAATGTTGCAAGCTTTTTCACAGCGTGAACAGAATACTACTTTGGTGGGGAAATGTTGTGGAATTTCACACTTATTTTTAACAGAAAGAAATTTTATATGCAATTTAACACCTTTTTCACGTGAAACGGGAACAAAATACCATGCTTAAGAACAAAATATTTTTAAATTGACAAAAAATAAATCAGAAAATTTGAAGGATTTTAGATGTTGGGTATGGTAGCAAAATGTCACAATCTGCTTAATTGTCAGGTTGTTAATATGGCAACGAAAAAGTGACAATGGAACTACCTTGTTTGTTGTATCATGGGAGGCATCGTATAGTTCCATAAGTACAGGTGTAAGCACATAAAGGACTTGTGGGCTGCGGCGAGCAGCCTGTCTAAATAAAATACGTGTAAACCATATGAACTGAACACAATCCACAACTCAAGCCCATGCTGTCGTTTGATTGCACGTCAAGTTGAAGCCAAACAATTTCTATTTTCTAATTTGACAGGTGTGTTTACATTTCGCATCAGTTTTAGAAAATGAAATTGTTCTTTCAGTACGAAATCTATACAAAAACTGTATTTTTGAGTGTAAATTGTATCGAGTTTTTAATTTGCTCATATATTTTCTTAGTACATGCACAATAATTTGATGGCATGAGAAAGTTTACTTGGTCATGTACATTCATTTACATATTTTACACTTTTACAAATTTGTTAACATAAATATGTATGCACACATTTTCAGTACAATTCCTAACCATAAGCATTTTTAAGCAATTATTAATGGAAATAAAATTATAGTTTAAAAAACTAAAACTTCCCTATTATAATTGCCATTCGTACTGTCATCAGGTATGTAACTTGAGAATAGAAATCGCTGCATCTTTTCGGCGCACCAATATTACATAGTTACATCCCGAGCTAATAAAGGGAAGGTAAAAAGAAGCATCTTTTTTGGATTCGGTACTAAAACTGGGAATAGCATTTCATTAGTAATATTAATACTATGGCAATATTCCTAGCTATGATGCATATCAAATCTTTAAGACA